ATCATAAATATTGTTATTATCAAAATCATCTGTTACAGTTGTACAAATATTTTTTCTGTACTTTTACACAGTACTTCAATAAATTTTACACGTCATTATTATTTATTTCATTTTTTTTGTTTCAATAATTTTAGTATGTTTAGAATGTTGAACACTGTATATAAATTTGAACAGTCAAAAGAAAAAAAAAATAGAAAATTGTTTAAAATTGACAATGATAAAAAAAGCAATAATTCTTTTTTTTTGCATACTCTTTAGTACACAACTTAGCAAAACCTTTCTAAAATTTAGTATACTGCTGTCAATGCTGTAGAAATGAAGAGGACAGAAAAGGAAGAAGAAGAAGAAGAAGAAGAAGGTGAGCAGGAAAAAAAAAAGAGTTGAAAAAAACAACACACACACACACACAAAGATTATCACTGAGCACTTTTGACATTTATTTTTATCTATCCAAATTTCAATCAGACATTCACTGTTTGATATTATTGATAGTTAGCTGTTTAGTAATTTACTTAGATTGATTGTACTGATACAAAAACTCTAGATTTTTTGCTTGCAAAAAAAAAAAGTTTGCCAAATAACAAAACTAACACTTTTCAAGTTTTCAATTTTTTGTTTTTTGTTTTATTCTCTTTTTTTTTCTTTTTTTTTTTGCAATATCACTGCTATTGTTTTATTGTATAAGTTATTAGAAAAAAGAAAATACAAATACACTTAAATTATTAACTTGTTTTATAGCAATTTTAGAACACTACAAATAAATCCACACTTTTAAACCAGTTGCATGTGTTATAAGATCAAAAAATTTTCAAGAAAAATAGAAAAAAGTTAAGAGGAAAAAAAAACGATTAAGAAAAGAAATAACAGTCATAAAAATTTTCAATTATTATAACAACAAAACAAAAAGCGTCTATCAATGGCAATTTGTACAGCTCAAAACCAATGAAAATACATTAAAATCTTAAAAAAAAATTTTTTTTTACCGAGAAATAAAAAAGTTAGAATTCTAAGCTTCTCTTTTTTTTTTT